CCCAGAGTCCCGAAAAGCCCTGAAAAGGGCCGTTAATTTTTTTTTTTTTTTCCCCTTCCCTTTTTGCCCGGGGGGCCCCCTGCCCCAACCCTCCTCCGGGAAAAGGTTGAACCCCCAAATTCCGGGCCCCCCCCCCCCCCCCCCGCCCTCCCCCTCTCGTTTTTGCCTCCATTGGAAAGGTCTGAATACGAGTGACAAACAGAGGGTCATGGGAGGCAGACGCCGGTTCGGGGTCCGCAAGGCCTGGTGAGCATAGAACTAAAGTACATTAGTGTAGACGTCGTGTTCCTTTTGTTTTTGCTCACGCTGAAAATCCCTCACCACGTCGATTCTGTTCTTTTATTCTTCCGTTTAGCTGGAAGGCTTTCTGCCAGTCTTGCGCTTTTTCCGAACGCCGCTCGATCGTCGCTTTTTTGACATTTTCGCCCCGCGATCCCCAGATCCGAACCCTATTTTTCTTGGCGCACAATGTTTCCAGAAGGCGTTTTCTAAGGAATAGCTCTAGCTCTTCACACGCTTGGGGGTACTTGATAGTTTCCACGGCCACGTACACTGCTCCCATTCACATGGTTCGACAACGGTCTGACTGGGATGTCTTTGGAGGTCATTGAGCTTCCGTTCGTGTTCAGTTGGACGTGACTATTGGTGCATTGATTTTGCCCCAAGCTACAGTGTGTGATACCGATCAATGCAGCTCAAGTGTTCTGTTGGTGTTGTGACACTGCCGTGACCGGTTGGTTTGATGCGTGCCTACTAGTATGGGCTTGCGCTGTGTTGTCTTTTGCGTTCATTTTACGGCTGACCGCTCTGTGACCAGGAACCGGAGGTGTTTTCGTGCACGTGAAGAGAAACCATGCGGTTGACACGATCAAGGACCCTGTTAACAACATCAGGCGGCCGATGTTCTCGGGCAATAGTGCGGGGTGTACAAAGCATGGCATATGTGTTTTTGATATTTTATTTTGTACTCCTGACACGACGAGGGAGGGATATCGGCACGACGGAGTCTTAAATATGTGACTACCGCAAGAGGCGGAGAGATGGCACATCCCCTAGACCGATCTTCAAAGCTCGATTGCTCCACAACCAAGAGTGTCTGTACCGTACCGTATACCGTACCGCACCGTGGTATTCCGTAGGAGGAGAAGAGATGGCATCCCCCCTAGACCGAGTTTCGAAGCGACTGCTCCACAGCCAAGAATGTACCAACGCTACCGTTGGTGGCTGTGGAAACATCTCGTCGAGGGTTTGCCGTAGGATGATCAGACCTCTTTACCCGCCCCCTTGGTCGTGGTTTGAGAGTCGGTTCAGGTGGGATGCCATCTCTCCGCTGTATTACGATAAACACTTGTCCTCTGGACCGTATTGACGATATTGAGGAAACTGGTACACATGAAATGCTTTCGAGGGGGATGAAGGTACCCAGAAGTAGTGTTCCACCTTGATCTCAGACTGCGACCGGTCCGGAACAAGCAAGCATCTTTGACAAAAATGAACATATTGGCTACTCCGCAGACGACGGGGTTCGGCCGTGGCGAGTGGCGCTGCGACCAAGCTAGCCGAGCTGGTGCTGGTTTGGTCCGTATCGAAGCCCGAGCGGGCTCTGTCGATTGCTAGAACCTGCGTCTCTCTGCTGGAGAAGGAGGATGCGCATTCGGCTTCGGGGTCTTCACCTCTTCCTTTGCCGTCAACTGCGCCTGGTAGGTTCCTTGTTGCGGTTGGATTCCGTGAATTGCCCACACTCCCACCGAGTTTGGGAGACGCCGAAACGAAACACACTTCGATACACGTTTACAGGCCGTGTGAATCAAAACTGGAGTACGCCCTGTTTTTAGGACGCCCGCAGAGGGTATGTGTATGACACCACTGGCTAGTGTGCGTGTATATTCGGGCGAAGCCCTCTCTATGGCATGCGCCTTTGACTTCGAGTGGTCACACACGGAGCAAACACGCGGCGGAATAAGAAAAAATGTTAGTGGAAAATAACTTCGAAACATCGGTTCAAAGTTGCAGACCGTGCGCTGTAAAAACTGGACAACATGCCCTGTTTCTGGGACCGCACGCCATGGGCTGCTCTTTGTGGACGTCGTCGGCCTAAAACCTCTCCCTGGCATGCGTTCTTGACCGATCACACATGCCACACATGCGCCAGTCACGAAAACGGCTATTTTTGACCGAAACGCGAGAAGGTCAGCAGAAGCAACGTTTCTGGTTGACGTTTTCGGCTCGTGTGCGGCCAACAACATGCTTAACGCCCTGAACTTGGGATACCTGCAGAAGTTTATGTGTATGACCTCACGGTATTGGCCTCGGTTTGGGCAACAGACGGCGAGTCCCTCCTTCTGGGACGATTGGGGTGTGAACCCCCCCGTTTTTCGATCATTTAAGCCGATCCAGTTCGGAAACGGGCCCAGTTTCTCAGTCGCAAGCTGGAATCCTTGGAAATGTTCGGGCTTTAAGAGAATGGGCGTTAGGGATTTTCCATTTTCCTTCGCGCAAGAAGCCTGCAGGGGTTAAGGGGTTGGGAAAACGACACCCCTCCCAAGACCACACTGAGACAACCAAAGACACACGTGTGAGCGCATGTGCGCCTACCCCCTTCCGTTTCTCGCCTCGCTTCCGCACTTGCACGCACTGAGCGGTTTTCGGTGATGTCACATGTGTGCCCTAGCTGATGCCTACGCACATGCACCGCGATTTGTTCCGCAGGGCCCGGTCGTAGCTCGTGCTTGAACGCCATCGTCGTGGCTTTGAGCGAGACGTGCGACGGGAAGAGTTGGTACACGTCGACCAAGGAGCTGCAGCTGGCGTCCTTGGGGTTCTGCACGGCGTGCAGAAACCACCAGACCGTTCACTTGAAAGTCGACGAACACATCCCACGCCGGCTGCTGGCCGCTGCAGATGCCCCACCCCCCGCATCCGAAGCGGCTGTGTCGGACACGCGTGCCCCGACTCACAGCGCGTCGTGTGACGTGGAACATGCCGACAGCAGCGGCATTGAGGAACCTTGTACTGTATTCGCGATGACGGACGTGGACCACCTGGAGTTCGGCTGGGACTTCGAAGGCAACCTTGAGGCTGTGGCATGGCCGCGATGGCTGAAAACGATCGATTTACACCCCTGGTCGAATTTCGGCAAGCCTATTGACCTGATAGAATGGCCAGATTCGCTGCAGACGCTTGAATTCGGTTGGGAGTTTTACCAACCGATCTACCGCGTCAACGTTCCTGCATCGCTGCAGCAGCTCATATGTTAGGGCGATTCACTGTTCAACCAACCGATTGCCGGAGCCATTCTGCCGTCTACGCTACGGCTGCTTAGGTTGGGGGGAAGCTTCAACCATCCGATCGAGGCGGTCGTGTGGCCCCGCCATCCCTGCAGGAGCTCATCTTCGACATCCATTCGTTTTTCAACCATCCTGTGGAAGATGTCGCGTGGCCGCCGTCTTTGCAGTAGCTCAATTTCGGACAAACCTTCAATAAGCCGATCGCACGGGCCAAGTTCCCGACATCGCTGCAGCAACTTTCCTTTGGGTGGTACTTCAACCAGCCCATCGAGGGCGTTTTGTGGCCAGATTCGCTTCAGAGGCTCGTTTTCGGAACAGATTTTTACCAGCCAGTTGACGACGTGACGTGGCCGTCGTCATTGCAAGAGCTTGCCTTTGATTTTATCGATTTGTCGAACGATGGCTTTCCCGTGTACTCGAGCTTCAACGATCGTATCGACAGGAGTGCTTGGCCTGAATCGCTGCGGCGACTTATGCTAGGCTACAACTTCAAGCAGTCACTGCAAGGGCTGGGCACATGGATGCCCAGCCTCGAAACGTTTCATCTCCTTGATGGTGGTCCACGCGATGAGCAAATCATTCTCCGCGGAATCGAATGGCCTACGGGCATTCGTCGCCTGACCGTGTTCGAAGGCTCGACCTTAGTAGACGGGATCGTACTTCTTGCAACCGTAGAGGTCTATCGCCAATCCCTGTGACTTTCGATTGGCGCTGAGAGGAGGTAGAATGTATGTCAGTCACATGGTTTACGATGCTCTGGTGGATGCCTCCGAGGCGTATCGATAAGGAGGCAGTGGTATCATCACCAGCTGGAGTGCTTGAAATATGCCAATAAACTTATGTCAGAAGAGGGACTCCTTCTCATTGTAGTTGAAGCTACGAAGGTGACCCCAAGTTTGTTCCCCTGATCGGTGTAGTCAACGTGAATGCAGCAGTTGAGGGCTTGAGAGTACTGTCCTGTTTGCAGTGTCTGTTGGGCGGGGACCATCACTCTTGAGAGCATTTCCGCTCGGTTTATCAATACCAAACTTCACGTTGGTTACGCGACAGGGCGGTAGCCTGCCTTGGTGGAACAACCGAGTCGGCGTCCACTGTACATGGTTTGCTTCGAGGGTACACGCTTGCGAGGGGTTTCCCAGAAACGCTCTCTGGAGTCATTATTCGTACGGGAGTGCCGAGGTCGTGGTAGGTTTTTGTTGTTGCCCCCGACCGGTACGCGCCCTTTTCCCTATTCTCTGAGACGAAGAATGTGTTGCGCATCGGAACGATGAGCCGCAAGAGCCTCACTTCGAATCCGGCGAAAGTTCATCTTCAAGGGTTTTCCATCTACATAGATCATCCGCTCATATTTTCATATTTTCCTGGGAGGGTTGGCAATTTGTATTTTGTATCGACTATACATCAATTCATGATGAAATCACAGTTTTCACCTGCATTCTGCACGACACGGAGTGCCGTATCCCGAACATTCACTTGCCGGGAGCGCTTGGTGGCGTAAAATTCAACAACCAGAATAATTCTCCTTTGCACAGCAGGACCTATTTATCCATTCTCTTGAAAGCCGGGGGGTTCAACCAGCGTATCGGCACCATGTATCTCCGCGACGACTCAGACCAGACGCATCGTTCAGGCGGTCAGTCACTGTAAGGATTGGGCACATGGATGCCCCAACCCTGAAGCGTTATATGTTCTTCGACTGGAAGTGTGGTTCATGTAAACAAAAGGGTCTCAGATGTGTCTGCCTCTACGGCTACACCACCACCCCTCGAAGCCGCCAAGGTCAAAAGAAAACAAAACTGGCATCTGTGCTGCTGTTTCCGAAGGGAAGAAGGGCGCAGGGGGGAAGGAACACAACGCCACCGAACGTCAACCAGACGAGGGTAGGAGCTGCTATTTCCGAAGATCCCGAGAGTGTGGAGGTGAGAAAGCGGTAGAACTGTTCTCGTTTCAATTTCCATTCAGCCTGTCCGTAGCATTCGATGCGAGTTGTCAACAGTTTTCTAAATGTCCCCGTTCACCAACTAGAGACATCCAGATCCCCAGAGCCCTAACGCTATTCTCCATACGAGTAAACTATACGTGCACACGTCCTACAACAGGTCCTCTCCTACAAAAATATTTCCTCCTCATTGCCTCATTCAGACGGATTGGGTACAATAGAGAGATTAGGTCACGAGGTGGAAAACGATAATGTCATTTACGTAGTATAACAACGGGTGTCGAAAATAGCAATACCGGGTAGAAGAGCGCCGCACACGACTGAGCTTTCGTGGAAACAAGTTCCACTCGTAAAGGGAGGACTTTTGCCTCAGGACTTCCACTTCCGTCTGTTCGTGTGAGCTCCGAACACGTGATCGTTCATTTGTCGACGATTTTTACTCGAAAGTGAACCGTCCGTTTTCACAGGGTTCGCGGAGCCTAGCCAACCTCCCGCCTCCCACCCCTACGCCGGCCCCGTAGCGCTAAGGGGAGAGGACGATTTTAGTAGGGCCGGCCTCGGGAGAGCCTACGGCCTCTAACGAACCGCGGTAATATTTCGCCTCTCGGTTGATGTCGTCAGCAACGGCGTGGTTGCCGTAGTCACTGATGGCTTGGGGTATAGCTCGGAACTGCCCTTACCATTGATGGCACTGCGCTTGCAGCCAATCTTGGTGTCAATAGTTGCGGTTCGTTGGATAGCTTCGTTTGGTAATAAGACGTTTGTTTATGGTCGTGATACAATTCTGCAAATGAAATAGAATATAACAGAGACTCTTGTATCACGGGAACAACGCGCTAGAGCAGAGCGTTCATCGGCGAAGGCAGCGGTAACACAGTATATCGCTGAAGCATAACTACGAGGTCACGAATTGAAAATTTGTTTTGTTTGTATTTGCCTACAATGACCATCTCTCATAGGTGACGGGCTTTTTACAACACGACGCCCCACTTTCAGGGCTACAGGTCGCTCATTTTTTGCATTCTTCGGGCGTATGCTGACATGAAACTTGTGTGGAGAGCAATAACGAGTGCTGGTGTATATAAATCCCGCGGATTTTCGATCATTCATTATTCAATTATTCATCCGCACATCATTTGTACACATACATGTAGGCGCAACGAAAACGAAAATATCGAAAATTCTCTTCGACGACTAGTCTAGCACGCTTACCACCAAATGTCTTCTTCGATCTCGCTATTGTAGTCCATTTCTGCTAAGCCTATCCTAACGTTCGGGTCGACCTAACTGTCTTAATCCTGAAATAAACCGGAATCCACCCGGTCGAGCTATGAGGGCCATTGCCCCGCACGAGGAGCGAGATACCAAGCCCGTTTCTCTCTAATGAAAGACATGGATCGTCATCGACAAATAAAAAACAACGCAACCGTAAGTAGTCACCCCGTTCCGACAGAAACCCCGTCCCGCCGAAGCAAGTACGTCGCTCTCAAAGTGTCTCATTCGCACAGCAGGAGAGCAACAGCACGCAAGAAAAACTCCGATATTGACCTCACCAAAAGCAAGAACGAAATCTATGGCCATGCATGCCCACAACAACAACATCACACCAATGTTCGTCAGTCAAGGAACATTTCACATGTAGACTTTGCACACCACCGCGAAAATGTCGCGTGTTCTCTGACTTTGGTTGAGATTTGTAGAACATCACCAGAACTTCACAAGATCACGTAAAAAAAACGGTAACACACACCAGGGCAACAAACGCTCGAAATACATTTTTGCAGCCGACAGAGGGAAAACGTGAGAAACGTCCAACCCCGCACCACCATACCCACAACCCGCCGCCTATCATAGGCCAACCCGCACTCACGCACCACCTCTCCAATCACCCGAGTGACCTCCCAAAACCGAAAAAAGGACAAAATACACGATAGCTGGGGCGTTTTCCCCAGCCACGAGAGCGTGGCGTCTCGCTATCTTCCTTGCGCCAAACTCTCCGGTAATATCTCGTGTCATGCTGGCCCAATGCTCGAGCTCTTGTCCGCCCCCAAGGGGTTCCAGGCATACGGATCTCCCATACATCACCCTTCCGTGTTATCTTGGGATGCGGCACATGATCCAAATTTTGTTCAAAACAATAAAAGAAAAATGACTGTTTACTATGGTAATAACGTAGCTTACTCCAAGCAAATAGCAGAATATACCATACAGACAAGGGCCCTTAGTGCCGGTTGAATACTGCCGACTGCCGGCATAGTGCCGATGTTTTGGACGGGCATAGACTGAATCACCAAGTCGTTCAGTACTTTGAATGGCGTCGGTCCCTTTTGAAAAGGGCCGGAATGGTATACTGGTCTGGCCCTCATCGGTACTGCTGAGGGCCCCCCACTGTATTTCTTCAAACGTCTGCAGCGGGCTGCTTGTGCCACGCACAAACAGACGAAAACCGCCCCCACCTCAAAACCTGCTGTGTCGTCGCACCCATTGCCACGAAGAACACAACCAAAAACAATTTCGTTTGGTTTCGTTAATTACCACACCTCTCGGTGACAGCAGCACACCATTCTCAGGCAGCAAAGAAGACCCCCGCGGCGGCAAGCACGGCCACGACGGCTGTGACGGAGGTGGGGCTGAAAACGCCGCCGGGGGCCCCACTAGCGTCAACGTCGGCTAGGCCTA